ACACGTCATTCAATTATTCACCTGACGTGGCCGTGTCCGTCGCATCACGTGGTATCGGTTCAGTTTTGGTCGGTTCATATTGAATCCGCCGGTTCTAAATTTTCCAAGCCGATACAAACCTGCAGTTGCTTCGGTTTGGGTAAATATCAGAACATTCCGGGTCGGTTCAGCCGGATTTCAAATTATCATATTCAATTGCTCAACAGTCAACAGCACTAAAAACGCAGCGTTTTAGTACCCAAACCTGGCGCTGTCAGTCTCTTCTCTCCCAATCCAAAGTTAGGAGAAATTTGTTTTCTGCTACCTATGGATTTCCTCTGATCTCCGTCGAGTTCCGAACCATCGGCGTCGTTTTCGCAATGGAATCCCAGTACCCGAGGTCCCGATCGTTTGGACCACCGCAACACCCGATGAAAATGACGGCTCCTCCTCCGCCACCGCAGCAGCAGCCGCACTCCGACATCAACCGGAGCGGCAGTGGCGAGCTTCGTGCGCCTGATTGCAACCTGACTTCCCTCTGCGATCACATCAAGATGGAGGGATTCAACGCCGGATCCTTCTCTGACATCGTCGTTCAAGCCATGGGCTCCACTTACCGCCTCCACCGCCTCATCCTCTCCCGCAGCTCATACTTCAGGTCACAAATCACGTAAAACCATCTCAGAATACGTAATTAACGAGTAATTGTATACGCTGATTCGAAAAAATGTGGCAGGAATATGTTGCACGGTCCTTGGAAGGAGGCCGGAGCTCCGGTTGTGACGTTGCACGTTGACGATAAGAACGTTAATGGAGAGGCGATTGCAATGGCTTTGGCATATCTGTATGGCCATCACCCAACGCTTAATGATAGTAACGCATTCCGCGTTCTAGCCGCAGCTTCATTTCTCGACCTTCAGGTCCATCATGATCGAGACAAATTTCATAATTTGACTATGAATTTTATACTTATTTAGTTATTTCTTGTTTGATTTTTACTTGGTGAATTTGGTGCAGGATCTATGCGCAATTTGCACTGACTTCATTATATCTAAACTTTGGACGTCCAATTTCTTAGCTTATCAGGTTGGAGATTCTTGCAAAATCTTGTGTTGATTTCCTTCATATTGTTCAATTATATTAACTGCGTAATGCATGCTTGTAATTTAGGTTTTTGCAGAGAGCCAAGATTATGGGATTCATGGGGAACGGGTTAGGAATGCTTGCTGGGGTTATCTCTGTCAAAGTGGTGCCATGGAATTGAAAGAGGTAAACTTTGTAGATACAATATGAAAAACAAAAATAGGTGATTTAATAAAATTGGGTCCAACAAAAAAAAAAGAAAAAAAAGAAAAAGAAAAAATGAAGGTCCAGACGGAGTTTTTACTATCTGCTACCTTTCTTTTGTTGTTGCCTCTAGTTTACTATATGATACAATGAGAGCATGACATTTAAAGGCAAAATTTTGGGGCTAGATTGTAATATATTTGAGAAGAGTCTTATTTGGTTTGAGTATGAAAATGCAGAATTAGTTGCATAATAGCCACCCTAGCAGATAGTGGCAGTGCTCTGTAACCAAATTTTGGAGGACTAAGGGGAATAACTGATGAGAAAATGCCCAAGAATGTGTTTCATCCTTCAGTATATATTTTCTATGAATCTTGTCAAAAGTAAGAAATTTTCATAGTAATGTAGCTGAGTATTTTATGTCAAAATGTATTCTGACCAATTCAGTTCAACCTAATAATGGCGATGACCATTATATTCATTTTAACAATCTTGTTCTTTGCATTTCTCAAAGCTGCAGGACCTATTACTAAGTATCATAGCTTTAATTATCATACTGACAACATTCATTAAAATTTTAGCTCTCTTTTAATTATATTAAATCAGAATTTTTTTATGCAGCTCCCACTTCTCAAAGATTTCTGGTTGAACATCTTTACTAACTGGTCATATTTCTTCTCATCTTGATAGGTCCTTCCTAGACTTTCTTCTCAAACCGTTCATGCATTGCTCACCTCTGATGAATTGTGGGTACCTAGTGAAGAGAAAAGGTAAGGCATGTAGGCTGCTACTGAAGTGGTTTGTGGTTAACATTTTGAGTTCCTAACAGTTGGTTAAAACCTACTGAAGTGGTTTGTAGTTAATATTTTGAGTTCCTAACAGTTGACTAAAACTATACCTTAATTTTCATTTGAAGGTTTGAACTGGCAATGTACACTCTACTTGCAAAAAGTACTTTTGGCAAAACTGAACAAACTGAGCAAGAAAGTTCATCTAACTCTCAGATAGGAATAGTTATTCATTCTGATTCTTCAAAAGCAAAGGGAAAAGATTTGGTTGATGGCTGTGGTAATAAGAGGTTGGAGTCTGAACTGGGATGTCTAAGAATAAAAGATGAACATGAGGGCTATAATACTGCCCACAATCTTCTAGTTGAGCTTGCAGACTGTGTGGTTGACCACCAGACAGGGATATCCGACTCCAAACAGCCAGTGCAAAAACCTGCATATTCTCACCCAAGCATGGAGCCTGTATACCACTCCAATATGGATCAGTTACCATCAGTTAGCAACTCATTTTCAGACACTCATGGGATTAGAACCTCATGTTCTTATATTGAGATGCCTATTGTTGGAACAAGTGGAGTGGCTATGGAGGGCCCATCTGAAGAAGGCTCATGCTATGATTTGAATAACAATACTTGGCTTGCAGGTGAACAATCACAGCATTGCTCTTCAATGGACTCTTCCTGTAATGGGCTGGTAGTAAATGATTGGGGAAGATGTGGCATGCCTCCTCTTTCCTGGGGAGGCAGGGTTGTTGGTAAGAGACAGGTAAAAAGTAATGCTAACAGCAGTTGTGGGGTTCGTGATGATGAATATGACACTTTTGTCAATATATTTGAAGGAGGTTCCCTTTTATATTGCAACATGTTCTTTGAGGCTCTTTTGAATGTTAGAAAGCAGCTTGAAGAGTTGGGGTTTCCTTGCAAAGCTGTGAATGATGGTCTTTGGCTGCAGGTTTGTTATTGTTAACTGTTGGTTTCTAGCAATGTTATATGATTATATCTATACAGATGAAGAATAAATACATTTTAGGAGGAGAGTATACAAGTCCACAATTCCCTGACACAAAAATTGTGTGGATAGGTTGGATCCTGAAAGTCAGTGAATCCATCAATTATCTCTATTGAACTAGGGGCTAGAATAATCTTCCTTTTAATTACTCTGGTTGTTTGGATTTTTTTCTTCCAATCAAGTTACAGGCATTAATTTTCTGCTGCACATTGTTGTCAATGCTCATCAAACTGTTTCAATGTTTAATTGTCTATCCGTATGGCATTATGTAGATGCTTTTAAGTCAGAGGGTGCAAGAAATTGGAGCTGACACATGCAAAAACTGCTGCCTTACAAGTATGGCTTGTGCTTGTAGGCAACAATTTAGATTTGTATCTGCATCACATCCTGGAGTTCCTGTTGGGGCTGGTTTTTACATGCAAGAGCATGATCAAATACCTGGCAACATGGGAAATGTATATGTTGCTGATTCTGCTCAAGGTGAAGGAAGTGGCCTTTTTAGGCCTGTGCGAGTTCACGTTAGAGGGCCAATTGATGGGCTTGCTGGCATTGGACGTGGAACTTCATTTGTCCCCACCGCTGCTTGGCCTCCAACACGTTTTGTCTTTTCCCGTGTACCATTTGGTATGGGCAATCGAAACAGCCAGCAATCTCTTGCTAATGATGATTCAGATGCTAGAGCTGATCATAATGAAGACATGTCTGGAGATGGATTGACAGCTCTGGTTAATTTAACCCAAGGAGGAAGCAATGCTGCTAATGTTCATGGAGAGCAAACAGAAGATGTAGGGCCAATGACCAGTGGGATTGCCATGCAGGTGCTAGATTCGCCTGAGCATGCTATTGGAATTGAGTGGGAGAATGCAAACAGTTCTTCCATTTCATTGGACATGAAAACACCTCTCAGTCACTTCCCTCCGTTTCGTTTTGGGTAAATTTTCTTTGATTCCATAACTATTGGCTTGTCAACACATAGTCTGAAAGAAAACAAATCGGGAGGATTCTGCACACTGCATAGTTTGGTGGATATCATTAGTAGTGACAGGAATTCTTCTAATCATTAACATACTTGATAAAAAAGAAATCATTTTTATTTTTTTATTTCGAAAAGAAAATGTCATTAATCAAATATTTTCGCATTATTACATGGATGTTGTTTTGTTGGCTTTGTCATAATTATGCTCAAGTCTTTTGTTAAGAAGATACAATTCCATATTCAGTTGGCCTTTAGCTGCTGTGTCTTAAAAATACGTATAATTATTTTGTGTGCACTTCATTTTTTTTTTTTTAATGACAGTAAAATTGAAGAATATTCTAATTCTGTGTAAATCTTTTGCTGACTCTACAGAGTTGAATTTGAGGATGTGCAGAGGCTCAGTGATGGTCAAGTAAAGCACTCTCCAGAATTTTTTTATGCTGGTTCTTTGTGGAAGGTATCTAAATGTGATTGACCTGCTTAAGTGCTTATATAACCTTCTACCTTTATGATGCCCCTTCCTTATATGCTATTTGTTCTTAGGTATTAATTTCCTTTTTATTATTATTATTATTATAATACACAGGTTAGTGTTCAGGCTTTTTATGATGAAGATCCTCAAGGACGTAGAACTCTTGGTAAGGTTCTAACATATGCAAAGATTCTAGTCAGGAATGCATGATATGTGTCATCATCAAGAGTATTTACAATTGACTTTCATTTGCTTCTACAAACTTGTTCAATAATGAAGTGTTAGGATTAGTTACATTTATCCTGGT